ACAAGTGGTAAGTGCTGACGTGTTGAATCCAGCAAAGGTTACACTTCTTAGAAACCAACAAATAAAATAGATAACCAAAGGCCTTAAATATTACAGCCAAAACGATTAACATTTTCTTCATTTTTTGACGGTGAAATTTGGATTACTGTTATCTATTGCCGGACCCGGCTTTCAGGCAACGTTAATGATATTGGCTGACAGACATGAGCCTCTAGTGCTGGGTACCACGCGAAGTGGCGACTGTAATTTAGTTTCGTCATTCTTAATCATACATATCTTGCGTCATAAGCGCTTGGTCATCTCGGACTCACTTATGAGGCGGTCTGTTCTGTTTGTCTTGTTCCTTGAATTTTCGAAAGAAAATAATTTGTAATGCTATTATCATCGCTATTAACGTCATATCATTATTATTATTACTATCATTATCATTGTTATTATTATTATCATCATCATTATCATTATTGTTGTTATTGTTATTAATTTTACTATTTTCAGTATCATTATTATTATCATTATTATCATCATCATTATTATTAATCATCATTATTATCATTATCATCATCATTGCCGTCATTATCTTTATTATCCTCATTATTATTATTACTATCATTATCAATATTATCATTATCATCATTATCATGATTATAATGATAATATTAATAATAATAATAATAATGATAATAATAATATAAGTGATAATGAAAATAACGGTATTCATAATGGTAATAATCATAATGGTAATAATAATGATCATTACCATTATCATCATTATCATTATTGATATCATCATCTGTTAACACTACAATAATAGTGAAGATAAAAGGCCTAGTGACTAAGCACTTCTGGAGTACTTTCTGTGTGAACAAAATTAAATATCTAAGAACTCAACGGACAGGACAAGTATACAAAAAGTCCATGTAAGAATACTTTTATGGACACGAGTGGACATGCCCTCCCGGCGACCCTACATTATTTTAAGTGCTTTTAACTGACACAACAGAATTTCAATTTTCTGCGTAGACCCTGGTATAACATAACCAACACGCAGGGCTAAAAAAATGGGTATTGTGAAAAATGGTATTTTAATTCTAATGTATTTCTCTAGTGCATCAATGAGAAATTTGAGCCCCATACAAAATGGAAGTAATAACAGGAGCTCTATGTCCAGAATTCTTTAGTTTGTCCTTCCAGATAGAAACGAGATTTCGTTTGATTCCTTCGACGAGTTTTTAAGGTACACTTACCGAAAAATAACTTACATTCAGTTTTACTCTCTCTTGACTGCATACAATTCTCGTCGTTAAGAAAAGTATACAAAGCAAAATAAAAACAGAAAAAAATCATAATCAAATACAGTACCAATTCAAAATACAAAGAAAACAAATAATAATTAAAAATAAATAAATAAAAAAGATAATGATAATTTGAACACACACATAAACATATATATGTTTATATATACATACACACAATGGCTGAAATAGATTTTTTAGAACGAAAATATTAATAAGATATATTGCATAATGATTTTCCCGATACAGACTTATCTCACGGGCATGGTCTTCAAATCAAGATTTTTCACAAGATAAACGCTAAGGGTACGAGTTTTTTTTTTCTGCATTGCATGGTACGATAGGAAAAAAAAATAGAAGGATACGATGCGATTTTATGGTACGGTATTTCAGGTACAGAGCAAGAAAAATGAAGAAAAAAATATACCAGCTTTGGTAGTGGGTAACTTGTACAAGTGGAGTTACTATCAGCGAGACTGGTAATAAAATGTCTTGGCTTGTGGGTTTATTGCGGAAGCTATGTGCGAGACCCGCTAGAAACCCCATCTCCCCAGGGTCGAGGGCGCGGAGGTCGCGAGCTTAGATCCTGTGTCTTCAACTGTCTCCTTCTCCGAGATGTCTCCTTTTATGCGGCGGCTTCCATCCACGCAGGTGCTTGCTGCCACCCGCCGGAGTGTCAGTGCGGACACCTGCGTTTGCTCAGGGAGGAACTTACAACAGAATGGCAGAGGTGTGACGCAGACCATCCGGCTGCCTTGAGTCCTGTGGTAGTAGAAAAATTAGTCAATGCGTGGGGCTTGTCAATGAACGGGTATCGGTAACGTCTTCAACCCCTGAGAGTTACTGACACCAACTGGGAGACTGACTCTATCAGCTGGGCAACCCATGTACAGATTAAAGATATCTCACAACTGTTGGAAACTGCAGCAACTATCGGTTGATGCAGTTCTTTGGTAGAAGTATGGACTACATGCTACCAGCGAATCTATCCAGGCACAGTTAGTGCTAGGTGTAAATGCCGGTGAAACCAGCATTCACCAACTGCTTTCTTTTGATGAGATGTGCTGGATTTGTAAATGGTTGTGATAGAAAATGAAATGAGAGGTATAGGCAAACTGCTTACACATTTGTGTTTAAATTTTCACCTCCTCGCTCAAGAGTGTTTCCATGTCAGAAAGGAGGAGGGAGGAGAATAAATCCTCAGGATGATCAACTCTTTCGTGGAGAACAGGGACATCGCTTGTGAGAAAAGATTTATGGAGGACCTTCCCAACATGATGGGTCTAGCGGGTGCCTTTCAGGGTGGCACTCTTTCCGGTGGCCTATCGTCCTCTTACCTCAGAACTTACAGCCCTAGAGATAAAATGGTTTCAGTCTCGAGTAATGGCGATACAAGATTTTCTGGTCCAGGCTCTTCTGGACCTGACCAAGCTAGTCAAGATGGCAGCTTCAGTCACAGAAGGCCTTTCCTCCTTTGGTACCACCGTATTTCTACATGTGACAACCGACACTCTGGAGAGGCATTGGGGTGAATGAGGAACCTTCCTGTTCTTGTCACTAGCAGGTCTCCTTCCCACCAGCTATGGGATGAGGGAGCTCCATCCTCCTCCAGACAACTTCCTTCCCGCATTGGTAAGCCAAGGCACCAAAGGAAAGGAGGTTATGAAGGTACCAGTCCTTAAAGCCAGCCTGGAACAAGGCACTGCATTTAACCCTTTTGTATTATTGGGGAGAGCTGCAATGGGAAGGACACCTCCACCCACTAACCTCGCTTCAACTGGGGGCCACACTGATTTCCTTGGTTCAAACTGCCCCTTAGGATAGCAAAAGGCATGGCTACAGAGATTATGTAAAGTGATCATGTCGGGTCTCTCGTCGTGAAGAGGTGGGTCGGGCCCATCCCTCGGGTACATTCATCCCCAAATCTGTCCTTATCTGTGTCAATGGGCTCTTATCAAAGGAATTAACTAACCTAATGTTGGAAAAGTGCACCTGAAATGGCTCTTCCAGATGCCAAAGCATCGCTTTGCCTGAGAACTTTTACATTTCGATGGACGTTAGTTCCTCAACTGCGTCAGGCTCTGCAAAGCAACAGTTTGCTTACCTGTAATGACCTGATGACTAATAGTGCCACATTTTTGATTCATCGGAAGTTCTGCCTTTCCTTACATTACCCGGCAGAAGTAGATGCTATCAGTTCAGGATTCAACATTGCCCTGCTCCAAACTGTTGTATCCTTCCCACTTTTGTCTCAAACACCTGGGCGTTCAGGTAATGATATTCCTATATGGCTGGTCGGTCGTCGGGCCCTCTGCGGGAATGTAAAATGGTGCCCAACTCTTAGGTGGATGAGCTGATATAGTTCCCGATTACATTCCTCTCGTGTCTTCAGTCTCGGTAGGACCGTGGCAACATAAAGCAGTTAGCTTTTTTTTCGGACACTCCTTCCTGCATTTAACGTCGATAATGGGGGTATCTTACAGGACTCAAACACAACAGTAGTCCATTGACAAGATCCAAATCCACTGCCTCCTTGACAAATATGGGCCCTCTGTCCACGACCTTCAGGTATATCCTTTGGTGAGCAGGGGTCTTGCCTTGTGTTCCTCTTTGGTTAATCCTCCCAACATGAATCCTACCAACAACATAATCAGATAGATACAAGGGTACCAGTCCTCGAAAGGCCATGAGGGTTCGGGGTCGCAGTCCTCACTATTCTGTTCACTCTCATTTGCAACCAGGAGCTACAGGACAAGTGGTTTTGCTGTTCCTAGTATGGCAATGGATTTGCATCCACCATAGACTGGTGTCAATCATCTCTTTAAGGAGCTTTTGTGTGTGGGTGTGCGTGCCCATAGGTATGGCTGGGTGCTGGATATCGACGGGGAGAGCCGGGGCGGCTCCCCCGACGGCTAAGGACTAGGCAGGCCTTGTTGCTGCTTGCTGTGTTTTGCTCAGGTGGAGGATCGCTGAGTGCTGCACTCGGCCCGGGCACTAGAGCTTAAGAAGGGGTGAGCTGTGTCAGCTACCCGGGAACGAGGGGAGCCTGCGGTCCAATAGGCGAGCCGTGAGGTGTCCAGTGTCAACCAATCAGGTCTCGGTATGCGTATTCGAGAAGCTGCTGATGGTGAGGGCGAGAGGACAAGCTGTGGACCTGGACCCAACCTGACGGAAGTATGCTGCACTGCAGGTTGCAGGGGTCGGCTACAGGTACTCCCCCTCGAGGGAGCTAAGCGAGCGAGCGATAGCCGTGTTACTCCAGAAAGTTGGGCATTTGTGTCACTCCGGGGTCACTAGTATGGCAATGGATTTGCGTCTGCCATAGACTGGTGTCAATCATCTCTTTAAGGAACTTTTGTGTGTGGGTGTGAGTGCCCACAGGTATGGCTGGGTGCTGGAGATCGACGGGGAGAGCCGGGGCGGCTCCCCAAAGGATAAGGCCAAGTAGGCAGTGTTGCTGCTTGCTGTGGTCTTGCTCTGCTGGAGGATCGTGAGTGCTGAACTCATTCAGTTCAGTTTAGTTAGATTTGCAAAGTCATGCTTCGCCCGGGCCTTTTCTCTGGAGTGGCCCGGCCTGTGTTAACTATTTCTAGTTAACTCAGATGTTTTCTTAGAACTGCATGCTTATCGCGGTGGCTGAATTGCAAACAAGCGATCCAGCTGCCACGGGGTAAGCATGTTGCACACCCTTTTTACTAGCCCGGCAGC